CTCTGTATCGACCCAGTGGACTATATCAGATCCCAAAACCCCAGAGGATTAGATTGCACCGAGGCCAAGGTGAGTGTCTTTATTTTTATTACATAACATATCCTTTGATTTTGAATATTTTTTAACTAAATGGAAAAAAAATATATAAACATACCTGTACAATCTTTTGTGTGATGACGTGAGCTTCTAATTTCTATATAAACATTTACTTACTTGTTGTAGGTAATTTCCCGTCAGTTGGTGGATGCAGCCATTGAAATGGAAGCCAGAGGAGTTTTCCACCGGGACATTAAGCCTGATAATGTCCTGATCAAGACAGGTGCAGAGGTACTCAGGGTGCGCTTCATCAACTTTGCCTGTGGGACCTTTACAGCTGAGAAGCTGTTTAATGAACCCCAAGGTAAAACATTGCTACGTAAAATATTCATTGGTCTATATAAAATATGAACAAAATAATATCTAAACAAACTGTGTATGTACCATTGGTTCAAACAATGACTGTAAATGAATAATAAAATCAGCGTGGATGACAGATAGACCATGTCTAATGTTTGCTGGCTGCTTATATTTCAGGTACTTCACAGTACTCGTCTCCAGAGTGGTTCTGACAGAGTGAGTACACTACAGGCCCCACCACAGTGTGGCAGCTTGGCCTTCTGCTTTACATCATGCTGTTCAACAGAATGCCCTTGATCAACGAGGAAACTATTCCATCAATGCACAGTGTTCCTATTCCCTGCTCCATTCCATCAAGTGAGAAATAGATGATCAAAATTACATTGTTTTATGTAGAAATGCTAAAGTAGTTTGAAAAGCTTGGTTGAAAGAAAAAATCTGTTGATGTGAAGAAGTGATCTTTGTTGACAGGCATCTTTATTATGTATCAAGAACTGTATGTTAGGGATGTAAACATACAGTTTGCAAAAGAAAATCAATCTGACTGATACTAAAACAAGTATCGAAACAAGATACTTATTTGAGCAGAAAAGTCACATCAACTGGACAAAAATGAACCTTTCCTGAACAACTTTAGAATGAAGTTGAGCTGTATCAGAACTAGTATAAGACCACATAAACTAGAGTATACACCTATGGCCCTGGACCACAATGGAACTTACCTGGATGACTGAGGGATTACACAGATATAAAAACACATTGTAATGTAAAAGAAAGTACTATTATTTAATGTAAAAAATGGCATTCTGTTATCTAAATAAAGAGTGTTTGTATTGCCATTGTGGTATCAGAATCGGTTTTGAGTAGCTGGTCTATTTCTTAGTATGGAGTTTGAAATTTAAGTTTTAGTATCATGACAACACTACTGTATGTAAGCATGGTTTGTACATGTTTGTCTGCGTGTGGATTGCAGAGACTTACTGAAGACCTGTCTGGAGAAGAACCCACAGTAGTGGCCAACACTCGAGAACCTGAGGAGTGGTCCGTGGTTACATTCTGCTGAGACTCTGGAGTAGACTCCCACGCCCTCCGGTCCTCACCTCTGCTTCATATCACAACATCTATACACTTAGGGCTGCAACAGAACCAGTAAGCAAATAATCATTAGTTGCAGTCCTGACTAAAAGAGAGGTCTGATGGAGTCTATGTTCAAAAGTGTTGTTGTTGATGTGGACGTCTCTTTTTGTGGATTTGGTTTTGAATGTGAGCAGATATGTGCTGAAAAACATGTGAGTCAAAAAAGCATGAACATCATCCAAATAAGGTAAGTTCAAATTCAGATCTTAGATTGGTTCACCAGAAGTTTGGGATCTACTTCTTCAGCCTATGATGTCATAGCTCAGTCATGGTGAATGCAATGCTTCACTGGGTCTTTGATGTTGTTTATTTAATACTAAGTGGACATTTTACTGTGCAAGTGACATAGAGTGCAGGAGGTTTTCTACATTAAATAAAAAAAAAACAACAAAAAAACACAGAGCAGAGCATTTTAAAACATTTTATTTTACATTCAACACCTGTCTAGTTCCATACGTCATAAGATAGCTCTACAGCATCACTACTGCTTTTGTACTATTTTATATTTAAATGTTTATATTTATTGTGTATTTGTTTATCCAGTCACTGCATTAAAACAACACAGATGTAAATTCAGCGTAAGTGAAATATTTGTATACATTAGCCTTATTAAGGCTCAACATTTTAAAAGGACAATTTTATCTCCACAAACATCTTTTCTCTGTTAAAATAAGCCAATAGTGGAAGGCACGGTCCACTCTGTGCCCCTTTCTTCTGCTCTGGAGTTTGAATCTGAAGGTGAACACAGCCCATGTCCATGTGAGCCAGCTCTGTGTACAGTAGAGACGTGAGGGAGTAACAGGGACAAGGTTGAACTGTGTGGCCCACTTTTGGCTGAATCAGGCACAATACTGTAGATGTTGTACAGAGGCAGGGGTCAGGGGTCAAAATATATATAGAAGTAACAAATGGAGCCACTAAACCAGGTCACTGGACTCAATGACAAATTATACCAGCAGACGTACAGTTTCTTCAGTTTCAGTGTACAGAAGAAAGACCTAGACCTAGATCAATTAAATTGCAGATATGTTCATTGCAAATCAATGGTTTTCATCCTTTGTTGTCAGGCCAACCAAGACTACATGCTTTACAAAGATGCTTGGTCTGGGAACCGTTTTTCTCCACAAGTTCAGATGGGTGTGATTAACATGCATATTAACCTATCAGAGACTGGTTTGTATCAAAATGAAGATTACTTTCAAATTTTGAAGTGGGAGGAGTCACTAACTCAACCAGCCTGGTGTGCTGAGATTTTGTTCATTCGTGGCTGGATGGAGCGTGCCTCTCCTTTGAGGTGTCATTACTGCTCCAGCTGCTCTTTGGAGACTTCATGTTTACCCAGCAGGATCTCGGAGCTGTCACAGCCAGAGTCGTACAGGCCCACGTCACCATGGCGACTGTTAGACGCAGCACTGCCCTGTCACCTTCCGCTGCGGACCGCTGACGATGCCATGCACTCATTATCTGTCACCTGAGAAAGACACTTCATGAGATGTAAATCACATTTATGTAGTTTAAAGGGTCCTAGTTTTGCAAATGATGGAGAAGACGAAGTGCTCTCTGTCCAGGGTTCCACCTATGAACCTCCCCTAAGCCAGGGGGACTGTGGCCCAGTGGTCAAACAACCAAAAGGACGATGCATGCTGTTGTGGAGGCAAGGCACTTCCCCTACATTTCCTTGTATGAATGTGGTATGTGTGAGTGATTAGTGGTGGTCGGAGGGTCAGCGATGAAGATTAGCAGCTTTGCTTCTGTCAGTCTACTCCAGGGCAGCGGTGGAGGCCACACAGAGTGAGGCATGAATAAATAATGACTACAGTGTACAGTGTACTGTAAACAACATTGCATTATCACATTCCTGATACTTTTAAGACTTTTCAGAAAATAAAATCCTGTCCTGATAAATAAAATGTGCTTTAAGTTGTTTATGTATTGCTGGGGTCTTTGTTGTGGGCTTTTGCATTAGTGTATATCAAAAGGTTATAAAACATACTTTTTGGACCCCCCAAAAATGCTAGTTAATTTTAACCTTGTCCATGGCATGTTTTAGAAGCACAATAGTTATGATGTGTTTCTTGGAAGAAAGTTGAGCTGTTATTTTTAAACAATTGGAGGCTGCTCAAGTAAAAATAGACACAGCACCCACAGGCATTCATCTAGCTGCAGTTTTTTTCTTCTTATCTAATGAACTGCATCAAATAAATGCTGAAATAAAAGGCCTGTGCCTTCTAAAGTCCAGAGTGGGCCAATGCATATTTTCTTGTTAAATCAAACAAAATACTTTGAACGTTGATCAGCTGTTTTAGAAAATGTGATTGTATGTGTGTGAATGTGTGAAATAGATTAACCTAAAATGTATTTAGTCAAAGTCAATATATTTAATAATAAACAGTTTAATAATTAAATTATAGACTAGATGCATTAGGTATGGGGAAAGAATGACAAACTAACTGTCTGTTTTTAATCATAAGTCCTATATTGTATTGTATTGTACACTGGACTCTCACTCTCAGTTGTTGTGACAGTATAGAACTGATTTAATTTGGTCTTTGTTATTTTGGTTATATAGTTATTTACACAAGAGGCCTTTGTAGACCCATATGCAAAGATACATATGCAGTGCTTCTCCATAAAATATGCTGTTCTGCTGTTAATCTTTAATAGTTCTGTCCAGGAGAATTAAGCCAGATGAAAACACATTTAGGCCAGTAACACTCAAAAGGTAGCTTTTAACTTTTCAATTTCTACTCTGATCTTGGGCTGAAAATACCATTTAAAACAATCATCATGAAAAGTTAGGCCACTATTATCTGATGAAGACGATGTGATGGTAAAATAAACAGTTTAAAAATACATTCATATATAATATCTTCTGTAGCTATTTTAATTGACTGGGGATAGTGAACATAATAAACCATCTGCCAAAATGAGCCAAAGGATGGTCTTTGATGAATTAAAAACAATTGAAACAGAAGAAGTCTGGTTTATAGATGTTTTTTTCCGTCAACTTGTAAGGAGTCAGGGGGGGTTTGGATAAATTGAGTTATTGTGGGGTCAAGGTCCAAGTGAGTCACGCCTGAATGCGCAAAGAGTCGTACCAAAGTGAAAATAAAATTAGTGATCAAGCCCTGCCCTCTGCTGGTGGCATCGTTTATCTGCTGATTATAATGAAAAACATTTGCACAAACGTTGTGCTTAAAAAATGGAGTACAAGTGCAAATACAATGCAAATGTTTCACTTTTAATAAACCCCCAAATATAGCCTATTTTAATAACACGATGACTGATAGTGTGGTTTTAGTTAAATGTCCATATCTCTGAGACTGACGTTTGTGAAGCTGTACTGGACATCCGTTTAGGCTCCAAAACATTAATAACGCATGAGTGAAAATCACAGTGAACATAAAATATAAAAGATAAAACTCAGGACGCTGCGTGCCACATACGTCTCGCACGAGATCTCGCATGTGCAGGGAGCTCTTCTCGCCGCAAAACTTGTCACCAAAGATGGCGAATTGCTGAGTGCTCATGGATGTACACATTTGTAGGCTACTTGTTATTTTACCTGAACTGACAACTTTGACAAGAAAATAGCTGCACAGAGGGCGTTTTCTCCTCGATTCACTGAAAAAAGAAACGCCAATTGCCGCTACCATGCAGATCACACTGAAAACACTGCAACAGCAGACAATTCAGATTGAGATAGATCCCGAACAAACGGTGAGTGGCTAAGAGCTAAACGGCTAACTTTAGCTCTCCCAACTAAGCATGAAACATGGGCTTAAACTTCTTGCACAGACCGCATCTCCACGCTTGGTACACTGACAATGTTTTTTCTGAGCTGCTATTAGTACCTATACGTGTAAAACCTGCAAGGGTTGAGAAATTGTCATGCTAAAAACGCGAGAGACCATTTAGCATGAACTTCCAAGCTTTAGCATGTTAGCGTGCAGAGTAGCAGAAAGTAAGTGCCCCGCGCTTTGAAATGCATGCATGTGGACAAGAGCTAAAACTGACATGATCTGATCCAGCTGTCTGGGTGTCTAAGTGAACACAATGTCCAATATCTGACCCTATCGGAGGAACTAAAGTGGGTGGTGTTGCTAATTGCTAATGCTCATAGCATGACTGTGCTAATTATGATTAGCCTTATTTGTAGCGGACCCTAAAGTCGGCAGCGCTGGCATGTAAACAATGCGGTTTGCGTAAACTTGGAGACGATAGTGAGAAAAGTGTAAAGTGTATATATTCAACATTAAAATTACTCTTTTTACAGACATGCAGTTTCTTAAATTTCGCATATTTAGTGTTTTGTTACAATAATTATGTACAAATATACATGTCATATTGCGGGTAGATGAACATAGTAGCAGGTTCATTGCTACTATGAATATGATAATGATTTGTAAAACAGGGATTGTAGATTAGAACTAATTAAATTGATCAATGTAAAATATATGTGTGGTAATGTGGTAAAAAAAAAATAAACATTTTAATAAATGCATAAAGCCTATTCAAATCAACTCAAATGATTTTTTCTTTAGGTGAAGGCTTTGAAAGAGAAGATCGAAGCAGAACGAGGAAAAGACAATTTTCCTGTGTCTGGACAGAAATTAATATATGCTGGTAAAATTCTTCAAGATGACACGCCCATTAAGGAATACAAAATAGATGAGAAGAACTTTGTTGTTGTGATGGTTTCAAAGGTAAGGGGCTTTTTGTAACATTGTTGGAGTGTATACGAAATGCCCTAACCTCATGTGCACTGTGACTAGGCTAAGCCCGCTGCTGCTGCCTCTCCTCCTGTCTCAGAAGCGCCCAAACCTCCCTCACAAGAGTCCACTGCCCCTGCCCCAGCTCCTGCCTCTGCTCCTGCCCCCACCCCCTCAGCAGTGCCCACTCCCCCCGATGAGCCCATGGAAGAGGCCAGAGAGGAGCCCAAAGAGGAGCCCAGTGCTGCAGCTGGAGAACCGCAGCAACCTGCCAGGTAGTCGTCATTTTCGGTCTGCATAATATGCTGATGTTAGGGGGAGGACACTGTAGATGATCGCATTATCTCACTCTGAACATCCAACCACACCACAAAATCTCTAGACCAACAAATACTATCAGATAGACTGCTTCTTGATTTTAGGAAATAAAATACTACAGGATATGCAAAAGTCAAATGGCATTAATAATTCTTAAGATAATTCTGTGGTAATGATGAGGCTTTTCTGGTTTTTCATTGCAGCTCCAGTGGCAGCAGTCAGAGCATGGACCCCTCGTCAGCTCTTGGTACGTACAAATGTGTGAATGGCGCCAAGTCAGCTGCACACTTTGAAGATGACACTGCATTAACCTGATGGACTTGGCTATTAATGAAGTAGGCCTGGACTGCACTTGTGCCAAAAATGTCCTCACAGTGTTGAGCTACACAGCGCGCTGTATAATGCATATCACTCCTATATTTAGACTGTGACAAAAGGGGTCATCCATTACTCAGGGAGCAGAGGGGCTCCCATTGGTGAAGGCAAAGCTCCTGTTCTGTGGGGAGTATCTTTGGAATTGGCCGTGAATGAAGAAAATAACAATATAATACTTATTCCTACATACTTTAAAGTAAACATTCTGGTTAAAAATGCTTTCTAGAGTTCAGACTTAATTACTGAGACAAATGATTCACTTGCAACTTTTGATTTCAACAGTTCGGATGTTTAAAAATGCTATACACACTATACACACATCTACAATTAAGATCAATGTGGAAAATGCAGATCGAGTTTGGATTATAAGCAGGACAAAGGGGATGATACAAGAACATATCCAAACTTAAGAATGGCAATAAAACCCATTTCTGTTGTAGTTTTTGGATGTTGAAGTAATTTTCTTTTTGTAGTCTTAAGCTGGTAGCAAAACATCCTGACTTCAAACAACATCCATTGTCTGTCTGTGTACTCTGCGTACTGCAAATGTAGTTTCTGTTCATTAGATATTGTTGTGTCTTAATTGTTCTGAGTAACGTGATTTTTTTCTGCGTGTGCAGTGACGGGGGCGGAGTACGAGAACATGCTGACGGCAATCATGGCAATGGGGTATGAGCGGGAACGAGTGGTGGCTGCTCTTAGGGCCAGCTTCAACAACCCGCACAGAGCCGTGGAGTACTTGCTCACTGTACGCACCAGTACACTATGCACACACTAGCACCTTTAGCTCAGATTAATAGTGTTTCTCATTTTGTAAGTGGCAAATATGTTTATCCCACATTGTTTTTTGTAATTTAACCTTTGTGTCAAAACCTGGAAAATATCAGCAGCAGCAGGGAAAACCAAAAAGTTTCACACAAGTTCTCGGTGTGGTGCAGTTCATTTATGGTTGATTTGTGTCCGTAGGGCATCCCCAACAGCCCGGTCCAGGAAAGCAACCCTCCCCCCTCCGGACCCACAGAAGCCCCATCGGAAGGTAAATAGGTGCACTCATTATACATGGTTTTATATAATTCATTATGTTTTATTCATACCTTGAACAACCCCAAATTCCTATAATTAGATGCAGCATCTATAATCACAATTAATGGTTGACACTGTTGTGGTCCTAAGGACGTACAGAAACAACTGAACCCTCTTTATTTGTTTATGGGCACAAATAAGCCAGATGGAGTGTCTTTCTCTTGGCCTGAATCTGTTGTAAACTGGTTTGTATGTATTCAGGAGAAAACCCGCTGGCGTTCCTACGGGTTCAGCCTCAGTTCCTCAACATGAGACGGGCCATCCAGCAGGACCGCTCCATGCTGCCCTCTCTGCTGCAGCAGCTGGGCCGGGAGAACCCCCAGCTCCTACAGGTAACAACCCATAATGTGACCATATGCCTAAGGCATTTCAGCTAATGAACAGGACTGTGAGGAAGCTGGTAAATCAAATAAAATAACTTGGCACACTACATATTGACACACTCACAAAGTTACATGTACACCAGGAAAGCTTAATTTTATTATTCTAATCCCCTAAAGAGAAGGAACACGCCTGGAGTATTCTGATCACGCTGGGAGAGGCATTAAACTGCAAAGGGCAAAAAAGAGCCATGTGATGACTCATTTTAGATCAGCAATGACTGAAATTTTGATCCTTCCAGTGCAGACTGGTTTGTGATTACTCATTGTTTTGGTCTGTCTGCTATATTAATATCAAAGTAAAAACTACTGGAGCTGAGATTTAAAATTGAAATATATTGCAGAGAGGAGACTTGTGAGCAATTCATTTCCTAACAATTCAAATGAACAAGTAAATGAGTTGTTTATATATTTGCAGAAGGGTGGTTATATATGGCAGTTTTATTAGTAATCATAGCTACAAAGTTTTAGTGCCAATGCTGAAAGGTAATATGCCTCTTGGCATATTATTCTCTCTACATGTTAAATTACTATCCTATGTCATTGATTACCTCTGTTTATTTGTATCAGCAAATCAGCCAGCACCAAGAGCGGTTTATCCAGATGCTGAATGAGCCGATGGGGGGAGGCGGAGACGCCCCAGAGCTGGGAGACATTGGAGCAGCTGGAGAAGAGGGAGCTCCTGTGAGCTACATCCCAGTCACTGCTCAAGAGAAGGAGGCCATCGAGAGGGTCAGTGCACACGCATGTGTCTGCAGAGCCACGAACATCACTCCTCACAGCTTACACAGAGCACATGTGGAACCGTGTCTCCATATCTCTATACCTACACAGTTGGTATACGTTAGGGCTGGGCGATATGGGGGGGGAAAGGAAACACCAATTCTCCCCGTATACAAATGTTGGCAGTAGCACATGCTGTGTCACTGCACTTAATGAGGTTTTAAGTTTCACTATGCACTTTCAGTCAAACTGTGCAGATTTAAGTAAAAACTTGTGAAACAGAAAGGCACATAAGGAGATGCTCTCTGACCCTGACTTCGTGCTTTCACCTAGACAAGAGAGCAGTGACTCCTCTTTAGTACCATGCGCTCTTACTGCCACTGGATTGGCTGTAGACCTCTCGATGAAAATGCGCTTGTTAGATTGGCCTAAGTTAGAGCTCAACCTTTCTAATTTTTGCACAGCGCTGATAATATAAATGCTCTCATCACTGTAAGATGATTAGTTGAATCAAACCAATTGAATTATTGTTGTAAATGCTCTAGATCCAGATGTGGATGCATGCTCTTGTGGCTTGTTCTGATTGGCTGTGATCTGTTTTGTCACACAGTTAAAAGCGCTGGGTTTCCCTGAGCCGATGGTAATCCAGGCCTACTTTGCCTGTGAGAAGAACGAGAACCTGGCGGCCAACTTCCTCCTGAACCAGGAGCTGGATGAAGACTGAGCCCTGGCCCCTCCCTCCTCCACTCAGAGACTGCAGCCCCCCACACACACCTGCCTGTGGGGGGAGGGGGAGAGGGGGACGCCTTGTGTGTGAGAAGGCTAGATCATGGAGGGAACGTCAAATCCTCTTGAATTCCAATGGAATATGTGGGGTTTGTTTTGGGAGATCTCTACTTTGATTTTAGACGCGCTTTGTGATTGTTAGGGAAAGGGTGCGACGAGCGAGAGCAAGTGTCTGTGTGCCTGTGCTGATGGATGCAATGCAGTTAAAGCTGAAAGCGTAATCATTGAGCGGTATCTAAGACTGTTCATGCTGTAGCCACACGACAGAAGCACTCATCACCACTCCTCATGAAGGACTCTGCTGCCGGTGTCTGTCCACACACCACCACAGGACAAACTCTCTCCTGTTACCTCTGTTACACCAAATCATCTTCTGCCTCATAGGCATTATCAATGAAAAGAATTCACTTACCGGGACAAAACTATGGTAATGAAAGTACTTCTTGCACTTAATGGTGTTCGAATAATTAAAGTTCAAAGTATCATGTCAGCCATCTTCAGACCTTTTATGTTTCCAAATCTTGGCACTTGTGGATTCTTATTACTGTTCTCACACATTGTTCGTTTCTACCTTCGCTCTTTATTTCTGCCTTTTTGGATAGACTAACTTTTTTTTATTCTAATTTGTGTAAACATCTGTTCTAACCAGTTGGGTCTTTAAATACTGACAATAAGTGTTCGGTTTGATTATTTTCTGTTTAAAATGACAAAATTATCCCTTCTATACTTTAAACACACAAACATCTCCTGAAACAATGAAAAATAAAGAAATGTACTGCTGAATGTGACCCAAAGAGTGACTGAAAATTCATTGAAATCTTGCCACTTCTGAGATTGGAATTGTTCTGATCGGCCTTGGGAGAAGCACATTGTATTGATCACTTTCTAATTATTGATCAACCAACTGAGTATTTTTGCATGTTCTGAACTCACAACATACTAATGATCCTGGGATATGTTCACGTTTCATAATTTCATATTTTGTGTTACGAATGAAACCTCTAAATATGTGGGTCACCAAGCATTTTCCACTTCAGTACAACCGGTCCATTGAAGTATGCTGATGGTGTGGAAATGCTAACACCAAATCGCTAACTGTGTTCAGAGGTGTGTAAAATAAACTGTATTGTATGTGCATGTGAGAGTGGTACTTTGCTTGGGGCATATTTCACTGTAACTGTGTGAGATGGGGAGGTATGGCATGACAAGTGTGCTTTCTTTTCAGCTTTTGTGGGGGTCACAAAAGCACAATGTAAACAAACCCATGTGTGTGAGCTGCCACTGTTCTACAGCATCAACATGAGCTTAGATGAGCTGTGCTACATTAAATATCAGTCTTTCAGGCTCCTGACTCCGACAGTTATTCATATTTCATTTGATTTACTTAGACTCAAGGTTCAACAAGTGAAATGTTATGAGGCATTTGTTGTCTTAATACACATTAACACATTTAACTCTTATTCTCTTGGGCTAAATGTTTACTATAGTAATAATCATTATAGAACTGAGCACACACACAAAAAAAGTCATTAAATCTGATAAGGCCACTGTTAACATTTGAACACATGTCCTGTACTTTTCTGTCAACATAATTCCTTTTGGTTATTAGTCTCTCAGTGGAGTTAAGACTTTGTAGACAGTTTGTCTGTGTAATCTCAGTTTTTTCAGGGGGCAGTAGTGAGCTCCTTATGGAGAACATATAACAGATGTTACCACTTTGCACTTCACTATTAGACACTACTGTTTCAGTTTCATACATAAATATAGACTGATCTCTTAAAAAACAAAACAAAACTGCTTTACACTGCTTCAGGGAATCTTAGCTAAGATTTTTATCTGTGAAACCAGATATGAAGCAATGAAGCAGACATGTTCAGATCAAATGTAGTGTTTACTGATAACAGATGCAAAGCTGATTATTATTCTTAATCACAAAACATTTATGCCATAAACCCAGTTTGTTTAAACCTAAAAGAGCTCTGATCTAAATCTTTACTACCTAAGCCCAGTACCTGCATCTGCATCATGAGTGAGTGCAAGTGCAGCTTCTGCAGCTCAGTGACTCTGGAGGTTCTGAGCTTTCATATCAGCCATGGCCAGTTTATACACTGAGAATATGAAAAAAACTTGTATCCTCTGGATTAAGGGACTGGCAATAACCCAGTTTCAGATGTGATTGTAGTACCTTTTGAACACAGCAGAGTGCAGGCCATATAAGATGTACTCTTTGTCAGTTAAAGGTCTGGAATATTCATCTTTTCATTGCAATAACAGATTTGTTTCAATGGTTGTTGTTACAGAATAAAGGACAACAATTTTCAATATGAAATAGTATAGAAAATACAGGTGTGTCATGCAAAAAGAGTCTGGAGCCAGTGTACAGTCAAGAACATCCTTTTATTCAATCAGGTAAAGGTGTTGCTCTTTTTAAACTGCTTTTTATTATTATTATGGAAAAGAAACTGTATTAACACATGCATTCCACCAGGGGCTCTGGGGGCTGGCTGACGACGTGGAGGGGGTACGGGCCAGAGTCGACTCAGGAGAGGAGGGGCTGTCCTGCTCTAAACCTCCATCACAAAACACTGATGTTGGGAGGTCACATTTTACTGTTTCACTAAAGATAAACATTTGCTCGGACATTAACTTTGACATTTATTTGCACTGAAGTATAATTCCTGACCATCCACCAGAGCAGAGCAATCACACCACACTGTGCAACCTTCTACTATGGCTTTTCCAAAGTGGTGCTGCCGGCTCAGAAAACTGCTGCTGGCTTTTACATACACAACGATCAGTATAATTAACTTCAATTCATTAAGTTAAGTGGAGACATTTCTCATTTCTGGTAATTGGTGTAAACATTTTGGTCAATTTGGTCGCATAAGCCTGGGCTCCCATTAATGTGTAAGAATAAATCCAAATGTTTTAAAGTCGACTAATTGACTAATATTAAAATGATCTCTATTAGACAAAAAATATCTGATGGCATATTTGACCTTCACCAGATGACTCCAGTGGAAGCAGTCATATCCATTTTCCATGATTGTACTTGTAATTAGCTTGTCAGTTTTTGTTTTTACTCACTCAAACACACAAATAAAAAAGGCGATTCTGTAAAAATAACTGGATAAAACAAGGATAAAACAAGTTTCTTAGCATAGACAGCCTCGCATTCCTCTCAGCTGTCGTTAATACTAGTTGTCCATTCCTCCCTGGACAGTACAGGGGTGAGTTTGGGGTCTGTGTCTGGCCCGGCAGGCTGCCCCTGAGCCCCAGTGCTGCCCAGAGCCCACTGGTGTAACTTGTTCACTTACATTAGCTGTTCGAATGGAGAAGCTGAAGAAAATGGGTATGGTAATACAATGTGAAGCGTACAGACAAGAATAACATGTGAGCTAACTGCATTCTGCTCAGACAAAAAATCTTTGCGTATTCATTTTTTTTTTCAACATTTTTTTGTAGTTTTTAAACCCCGCCGTTCAGAGAAAGGAGAAATAAGAAGGAAGGAGCTTATGCGGCTACAGACTACTCCAGTGTCCAAGAGAGACAGAAGATCAGATACAGAGGAAGAGAAGCAAGACATATATTTTTTAACATTTTTCAGCTTTTTGTAATTATTCAACAATAAAAAGATGAACTAAATCACACCAATTTCTTTTAGTACTATGTATACTGCTTTAAAAAGCCTCAAGAAGAAGAAGAGAAAGATATAGAAGTATGAAGGAGGGGACCTTTTTCTTTTGGAGATGGGCACTCAGGATTACAAGATGGAACCAGTGAACAAAAGGCACTTTTTAGGGACAACCTTTAAGATGCTCTGAGTCTATTACACTACATCACCAAACAAATATTTATAATCATTTACAGCGGGAGGGTGGGGTTACAGACAGAGGGGTGGGGCTACGGGGAGAAGGAGGTGGGGTTCAGTTGAAGGTGGAAAGGCCTGACAGACCAAACTCTGGGCCTGTCGAATACAAAATGTACAAGTTACATTTAGTTAGTTGAAACGGCGTCAACTATGGAAGAGCTATAAATGTTTACTTCCTTTTTTAACCTCTTTGTAAAGGTTGGATGAGAAAAATGCCTTTTGTCACAACAACCTTTGCGTACATGAACCCCTCCCCCCTCGGTAAATACAAAAAGAGAAATAGTAATAATGCATGTTCCTAAAAATTTGCCTCTTATGATATTTTGTATTATTTATGTATAATAGAGATTGAATGTACTTTACACTTTTGAAAGCACCAGTTTTCATATACATTTATGAGTTGCAAAATTGTTCCTTCAGCCTTCCCATATTTTTAAAAATTCAAATGAAGGTTTTCTTAAAAAAAGCAATAAAAGAAAAAACATGGAAATCAATAACAACTTTCCCCAAAGTACGTACTTACAAAGATTGGGATTTTGAATCTTCCCCCTCGTATTTAGAGTCCTGGGGCAAGCGGACTTAAACAAAGAAAAAAGACAAAGGGTTTCCCCTCTTTTCTCATGACACCCTCAACAATCACTAACAAACAAAGTCCTCTACCAAGGCATTGCACGTGGCTCAATCAACATCATTTAGTTCAAGAACAACACTTCCCACCATATCGAGAAAGAAAACACAGAAACTACCTGTTCTGTTGATCAATGTTGACTATAGCCTTGTTTTCATTGGGTGGTACTATATGGTTCAGTTTGAGATGGCAAAGCTCTACACAAGTGTGAAGCAACATGTTTGAATGAAGGGTCACCCAAGGCACCTCAAGATAATATCTGACCACAAAACTGACAACAGTAACGGCTCATTTACAATATGGACCTACCACACGACAAGTAATTCTCAGTTTTTATATGTTGCTTATAAGGGCTTTTTACTGGCAGATTACATCATAAATACACAGGTACAATTATTTTCTGGGTGTGATAAATCTAGTCTAGTCTAAAACCACACCACATTTATTCATCAGTTTTAAACATTTACTTGAATTACTCGATATGAAGGATTTTTGTGAGGACTTCCCCATTCAAAAGACATAATATTTTAATTTGAATTACGTGATTGCGATGACCACGGAGGACAGGTGCCACAGTTCGAAATGCGCCATTCAAACCTGAACCATACAATGCCACTAGTTTTAAAAGCTACTGATAATGTTGCCATGGATTTCATAGCCTATTAGCCTATTTGCTAATGTGGGTTTTATTTCAGCACAAAAGTTTGAGATGCATCCTATGACTGTGCGGTTTAAGCCATGCTTCAAAAAATAACTAGACTGCCACAGAGCTTATCATGTAAAATAAAAAAACGTATATATCTATAAATATATATGTATATATAAGATGCGTGCGGTTATCTAGTTAGCTGTCACTGTTTGTCCTCTCCTGACATGTTTTTTCACCATTCACTATAGCTTATATGTGAGAAAAAACAACCTGAATTCATGTTTGACAAATTGCATAATGGGAATACAGAGGCACTTCCATAGAATAGAAAACAAAACCCCTTTCGCCATCGCTAGCATCCTCTCTGCGTCTTTCTAACTGTGGTGCAATTCCCTGCAGTGAGCATGGCCAGGCAGTCCAGTTATTTTGTGAGGTGGGTGAATTTGATTTTGAAATAACAAAATATAAAATTGGCAAAATGCTGATAAATATATTAAAAGCATAAAGGCCTCCTCAGATTGTCTAAATTTCAAATAAATTTAAGACTTCCCTTTGAGTCAGGCGATGTCAGTCTGTGCTCTGTGTGTCAATGTGTGTCCATCCCGGTATTCTGATTTTTTTTTTTTGAAATTTATGGCTAAATGTGGTCAGTGTAAAAAAAATGGCAAAAGTAAAAAACTTGGCTGCCATGATTGTTTTAGTGCATTTTTGTATCGTTAAGGGCTCATCGATTCACATGGATTAGATACGTCTATTGGGGGAGTGCTGGTGTGTAAAAGGAGGGAGTTACTATAGCAACTGATACTTTGAACCTGGCCGTGCAAGTAAAGGACTGCAGACCGTGGATTAGGAAAGGGCTCGATATTTAAACTTGCTAGTTGTTTTTGCTTGGATGTAGAACAGATTTTTTTTGACAGGATAAAATGTAAAAAAATCGCCACATAATCTGTTTTTACGAGTCTGATTTTACAAGTCTCATACTAGCACCCATAAGCCAATAATAAATGGTGCACCACGGGGATGTAACTATATCCAAATCTCTCAGTATGATATTATCACGATAAGCATCTCAGGGTATGGAGAGGCTGATATAACTGTAGATAGGAGACTTTTTGCTTTTAAAATTCCTTGACAAGATTTTGATGTGAATAATTATAATCCCAAAAATTCAAGAAAAAAACATCACAAACAAACAATTTCATGTTGTCTGCACTGAAATGAATCATGGGATATGTAGTTTCCAATGTTCATGAGCTGTTGTTACTATAAAACCCTTCATTTAAGCAAAGGAACGTGTAATTCGATATGTTGTGACAGCCCACGATATTATTGTGAGACTTTTGATGATAAAATATCACGATATTTTGGTTATTGTTACATCCCTAGTACATCGTATACAATTTTGCCCAGAATTCTCAGTAGTCCTTATTTTGAATTTTGATTTTTAGAGTAGAACTGAATAGTGCAGTTTTCAGTAGAAACAATTTTAGTTTCAGTTTGATAAAGTAGTGGGAATACAATTTTGGACATGTTTTGGAGCTCCTCTGCCCACAGTCTGCAGTGGCCTGTGCCTTAAAAAGAGAACCAACTAAAAGGGGCACGTTGGGTGGTCGTCCCGCTGACAGCCTAGAGGCCCTTGTCCCTCTGCGCTCGTATCCAGATATGTCACATATTGATTTTGCTCCTCAGCGTGGCGCAGAGCTCTTGGAGCGTGCAGCCGTCTGGGAGTGTAAACAACAGGGTAAACACAAAGCTTCCTCTAGGTCCCATCTTTAGCAACTTTCCCTCCTCGTGCGTCTGGTACTCACCCACTTCGGATGAGCCTGTGATTGTCAAAACCCTGAGTCAAGCCTCCTTACGCCCCCTACCGCTCAGAGGCCGACAGTGTTTTGTGTTTTTGTTACATTTGCAAACTCTTTTGTGTAATCTAGATCCAACCCTGTCTTCGATGCCCACTTCCTTACCACAATCCTCTATAAGGTGCTGTCATTCAAATACAAAAAATTACAAAATAGTACAAATCTAAAAGGAATAAAATTCAAAAAAACACATCAAGAAAAAAATCATTACATTACAAGAGGGCATATGGGGAACCAATAGCTGCTGCTTCTATTCGTAATACCTGGGATACTATGTTCAATGTCTAAATACTCATTGTATGTGTAAGCAAATATAATACAATACCGTCACCGGAAAACACTAGCTCAAATGGCAAGATGGCCGAGTAAAAAAGCGAATATGACTGAATAAAGGGATGTGACGTGAGCCGATGATAGGGGAGGACGAGTGAAGGCCAACTTTACCTTCCAATTCAAACAGGCAAGTCTGGTTTGGGTTCCATGCCTTGCTTTAAAATAGTGCACATCATTAGATTAGTGTTAACGGACTCGTAGTGCAACCCTTATTGGAGATATGTTTTGGCATGGTCTCGCTAGTTAGTTTGTAGTTATAAGGGTAAACTAAAAAACAAAAAAAACATTGGTCAATTTTGGATTCGGGTGCGATCACAGTAGCATGGACTGCAGCTTTGAACGTTTATTATTGTAGAAAACCTGATTCATCGGATAGTCTTTTGCTTTTTGGCCGCATTTCCATCGCGTCGCTTCTGTGTTGTGCTGGTTTGCTGGTTTTTCGGGATAGATGCCCACTACCGCTGCTGCTTCTGCTGCTGCATTGTCCCCACGCCCTTCTCCATCCTGGCATCCCCTAGTCCATCCATTCATCTTTACACTGTGAAAAGGGGTCCAGAGTCCAGAGTTCCTCTAAGAATTTCCTGGATTGATTGGTGAGATCTTGGTTGGGGTGAGACGTACTGTGAGGACCCGCTGCAGGTTGGGAGGGTCAGGTGGAGGGCAGTACATCATTCTGTGAATACCGTTTCTCTATTTCCGATTGAAAACATAGAATTCTAGTTGCTGGTTGGGACACAGGTCTTGTCAGAGGAACCAAGACTGGAAGATAAAACACAGACAGTGTATTAGAATAAAGCAAATAAATCAACTGGCACCAATAGAAAAAAGAAAAAAATCATGCCAGAATTTCCACTAATATTTAATTGCAGTCCATCTGAAAACAACATAAATTACATTACATTAGACTACTAAACTTGGCCATAATCATAATAATAATTTTGAAAGCAACCTATAATTTTTAAATAATTATTAATACATATGTTATGATACAAAACTGTTCAATAAATATAATTTAAAAACAATTTGTAATCACTTTTGTTATAAATTCTATAATAATTTCTGGTTCTTATGAAGGCAGTATCATACTTTAACTTGTGGACTTTCTATCTCATCTCACACCTATAGTTCTCTGTGTGCTGTGTACTCAGACATGGATATCCACCAGAGAGGAAGCTAGAGCCATGTTGTGTGCCTCTCCCTCACTGCTCACTCACAGTTGACTCAGGGCCACTCTGCTCCTTAACTACAGTGATACTGGCCCAGCTCCTGCCCTCGCCCTGTCCTCCTCAGCTCTCCAGGACATGTGGACTTTGGCCTGGCTCTGAGTGACTCCTGAAGGCTGGATGGCGGCAGGGGGAATCCGTCTGGTGCTCCCTGTCTGTGTGCTCCCTGTCTGAGTGCTGGGTTTGTGTGGCTCAGCGTGATCCGAGAGCACAAGTGGGTCACAGTCGCGGGTGCTGGCTGCCCCTCTTGGCCTGGAGGATCTGTGTGAGTCCGATGCGCCAACATTCTACAAGTCGAGCCTTGGAAACTCCTGCGAGGCTCGGGGAAGGAGGCCTTTTGTTTTGGTTTGTGACCAGAGCAGGTCGCATGAATGCCCCCCTTCTGCCTGCTGCCTTTCTCAGTTACCCCTCTCCCTCGGGCAGCGTCCCAGGCGGCCTGGGCCATTATAACGTGCCCCGTCTAACTTTCTCTGCTCCTTCTGCTCTTACTTACACAGCCCATCTATCTACAAACACACTCTGACTCTGGCCTTGGCAGCGCACACTGACCACCCTGACCCAAGCTGCGCCCCCCTTGAGTGGGCCTTTCTCAAATTCAACATCAACCGGCTATGACATCATGTCTGGTTACCATGGGCAACCAGACAGGCCAGACGTGACTTCTATAGGGCCCAAACTCAGTCTCTTCCTCTGCCCCACTGGATTCGGTTTCTGCGCTCCTCTAGCTGCAGTGCCACGCTTCAGCCAGGAGAGGGCATCCCAAGCCCACTGTTGTCCCCCTGAGCTCCTTTTTACTGTGATCTAGAATTAATCTGTCAGTGTCATTTTGAGAGGCACATGAAAACTATTAGTGGTGTTTGTTTAAAAATTAAAGTCACATCTGAGACTCCAAATCCTCACTGACAAGTTTGTGGAGAAAAAGTAACCACTGAATCACAACAAAGAGCACACACGTCTAAATAAACATGTAATCAATATGAATCATGAAATAAATGTATAAATAACACAATCTTATGCTCCATGAGGTCATTCATTTAATGTCATCTGTTGTTTGTCTTAATATATATTTTAGTTGAGCTGGGATTATTTGATTGGACCGAAACAGAACCGAGGGAGATGAGGAGGACTGTGTATGAGCTGCAGCTTAACAAAGGAGCCACACGGGTGTAGATTAATGTTAATGTGCCAAGTTAATTATGAAATGTGATGGAAATATCTTTGTAAGTTTTTTTTTTCACAATAGGTCAGTTATTATGGCTGCTTTAAATGTAAGTCATTTTGGACATTTCAAAACAATGACAACATGCTGAAAACATTTCTTTCTTACTTGATAAAACTTATGTTAATACCCAACTGAAACATTAAGATGCATGCAGGATAAAAAGTAGAGGCCACATGTGGAAAATCCCTCCCAAGAAAAGAGTGTAATGAGCAGAGCGGGGAGCGGAGGGAGAGTGCGAGAAGAGAACATAGGGTCGAGGAGCAGGGGAGGGACCCGCTCCTTCAGATGGTTTCCATGTGTGGAGGAGCTGAGCTGGCTCCAGGCGGGTGTGGTTGGACACTAATGAGAAAAGTACTGCTGGTAATGGAGGAGGCATATGAACCCACTACACAGAGCCAGCGCACAAGGTGAAAGTGGGAGAAAGTGAAAATGCAGAGAAAATTAATGAGACGAAGGGAGGAGCGGGCCAAAACCTAAAAGAGAAAAGCACAGAATGTAAAGACGGGGCATGAGAAGTAGTAGCAAGAATAGTGGAGCAGCGAGAACCAGGCCTGTAGCCTCGGGCTCTCTCCATATGTGCCAAATAAACAGCCGCGCACATATGCCTAAGCGTACAGTCAAATACAGATGTACAAAAGCACAGACTGAGAGCGCGCGGTGGGACGCTGAGAGACGAGAGAAGCTCAACAGCAGGTTTGAGGGGAGTCCAGGCCAGGGGAACTGTCTTGGCCCATGTCCACACAAACAGTTAATCCATTTCCTGAATTTTAAACCAGTAATCACAAACCAGACAGACACATTTTTATCCTTACTCATAGTCACCTTTTTTAAAGAAAATACATTTACCTGCGTCTGCTGCGGGATGTTCAGAAAGTTGTTGTCCCGTGATCCGATGCCGACAAACCTGTTGGGAGCTGTGGCGCCTGGCGTGGAGTATGCTGGAGAACAAAACAGACAAGAAGACAGGAATCAGAAGTGCAATAAAAGTTAAGAACTTTATCAAACTGTTATTTTAGTGGCTAGTAGTTAATGATGATAACATTATTGTATCTTTAATATAGTAGTTAACCAGTCACAAGGCATAGTAGCTAATACATCCTAAATTTGAATCATTTAATTTCAAATTTAAAAAAAATTTTCTTGCAAAAAATTTGACAGGGGCTCAAAATATATTAGCATCTCCAAAAAAGAGTGATATGTAACTCTTCAGAAAATCTCAGGTTCACCAAAAACTAACCAAAAAGCATTTATTTTCTTGGAGGTAAAATGCAGTCTTTTTCTGTGTTACTAGGAGCTATTCTTAAAACACAATCATGAAATAACTGTTACACTTAAAAAATATTGGAATGGCCCTTCATCATAAAGTAGGCCTCCAGAGTCTCCAGAAAGTAACACTCATTATAATTTAGGTCATAAGAAGCTCTAAGCATACGATTGCCAAATCTAGAGAGTAAAGTTAGATGTCCCTGATTGAGGATTAAACTACTTAGTTAGTAAACTCAGCTGGAAGTTTTTGAGCGCATCAGTTTCCCAACATGAGAGATCAGTCGGGACTCTCTAAAACCCAGTGGTGTCAAATGTTTTTGACAAATTTAGGGCAGTTTGAGTTACCCCGAGGACTCCACAAGTTAAGGCTCACTACGGACCCATCAGGAAGTGTGTGGACTTGTGTACATTTGTTTGTGGGTTTGAAAGAGAGACGGCAAAGAGGGACAGAAAAGATTGGGAACATATAAATTAATGACATGGACATAAACAGGATACATCCATGTATTTCTAAGACCTACAGTAACATACAGAAGACACAAAAGACTTGGAAACGCTGGGGAAAACAACACTAGATTTAAAGGGAAGCTTAAGACAAAAATGCTCCATCCAGTGCCCCTCCTAACAAATGAATGACTTACTCCCAAAATCTACACACAGCTACTGTATGGTATAGGTATATATGCCACCTGCTAAATTTGAAGGCCAACCTATTGCCGCCGATCTTTAACATAACCTTGTATTCACCATTACACTGGTCTAAAAACACGTACAAGTGGATCGTTAATTGAGTGGATTATCGGAGTCCATGTGATTTGTCTGCCCTAAATTTGTTCCTTTAAAACCAACTATAATCTAAAAGCCTCCTGAGGTATTTAATACTTTGACTAGTCTGTTGACGAGTCCACCAGGGAACAAAAGGAGCATTTCAAAGCAGAAGAATAAGGACAGTGATGCCACCTCCAAACAAAGCAGGTTCAAAGGGAAAATCAAAATAAAGAACAACGGCCCCAGTACGAAACCCTGAGGAACACCACACAAGTCCACTATGAAAAATAGATACCACCAAATCTTGACGGCATACAACTGGATTCACAACAATGGCAAGGGGTTCCAAATAAAGGGCGGAATGTTTTTTTTTTGTTGCGTTTGTGTGTTTTGATGTTGGTTAAAAGTAATGGTCTTGGTTGTAGGCCTGTCACGATAAAAAATGATGACAATGAATATTATTGTAGGCCACTGAAAAAAACCCAAACTATGCTAAAGTTTGGACCCTACCATAAATAACACAGGACACATCTATACATACGATGGACAGTCAATTCAAAGAAATAAATATTAGTTAGTGCAGAATCTAAAGACCTTCTGTTTTAACTTCATAGAAGGTCTGACTCCAGTATTTTTTATTAGCAGCTGTAAAGAGCCATATGATCATGTTATTCTCTGAGTTTATTGAACGACAAAGAGGATATAGTGATTATTGTGACAGGCCTACCCGGCGGGGTCACTTACACGGAGATGCGGGCGAGGAGAGTCCGCCGTCAGGGGGCGTGCTGTTGGGTTTAGAATCGGGCATGGGGAGGGGCACTGGGCGGGCCACGGGGGGAGGTGGAGGCAGCAAGAAGGAGCCTGGCATTTTGCTCTGGCCACTCCCGTTTGGCTGCAGACAACACAAACAGGGTCAGCAGGGGGCGACATGCGACAATCCGGCAACACGGAATGAGAAGGACGCAGTTCGGTCTCAAAAAATATCCATGACGGTGGATAAGGGAGAGGAGGGGTAGGTGGGAAACAGGAACGAAAAAATATGATGTATGCGGACGGCATTCTTTATGGAAAAATAATAATCACCACAGGGTTTGGTTGAAAGAACTGGGTGGCTGGAGCGCTGAGGGGTGGTCCTCTGTGGGTGGAGCAAAACCACTGGTTGAGGGCATCCAGAAAATGGCAAGAAATCAAAACCATGGGAGAATATACTCTTCTGCACAATCACAACACCACTGATACTAGCACCAGACAACCAAATTTCAACTAAAATCAACTAGTGGATGAAACACAGCACAATGACGCCACAGACAATTATGTTTGACTGAAGAGCTGGGGCACTGATGGTGGAACTGTCTGAAGGGTTGGGTGGAGCAAACAAACAAAAGAGGGAAGACACATTCGGGCAGGAACAGCAAACAGCAAAATGACAAGACAAAACAGAGAACCATAGCAGCGCTCATATGATCTGTCTTCTAGTGTGTGATGCACAGCTTCGAGATTTTTTATCAATAAATGATAAATGTGTTTTTGCCATTATGGCACAAAAAACAACTACACTGCAATTTGTACTATTAAGTGTGTAGTTTAGAGACATCTTGTGGTAAAACTGGAGAACCTACTTGTTGAAAAATGCTTGCCTGCACTGACAAGAGTTTGGCAGGATACTAATCACTGTTCTCAGCGTCTTTGGATTTTATTTCATTCATAGTCATTTTTACAATATACTATGAACTAATATAAATACTTTCACTAAAGTAAGTAAAATATTAATAATAATAATAGTATGTGTACTTGTATAATGGTGTCTTAATTAACACTTACTGCATGTTACCTGTATCATACCTGTTGTGTCAGTAATATTAAGGTTAAGGTGCCCAGCAGACTTACCTGTCCCCCGGCCGGCCCTGAGCCGTCAGCACAGACAAACTGCACAAATTCCTTCAGGGGGTCCTGTCCTGGGTGGTGGTGGTAGCGGATGGTCGGGTGGGTGAAATATGGGCTAGATTGCTGGATGATGGAGGGAGAGGGGAAGTGCAGAGTGGAGGCTGAAGCCCGGGGACTCCCTGCAACGAAACATGTTTTTGTTAGAGCTAAGTACTGTATATCCACAAGAGGACAGAGCTGGGGGCAGACATAAAGCATTACATGTCACGACTGTAGAGATGTAATATAAATGAGGTTTCATAAATAATCAAATTGAAGGAAACTCACTGGGTTTAGAAGATTCCAACAATGCTGAGTATACAAAATCCAAAAGTTTCAAACACATCATTTCCACATCAAATCTAAGTGGAGTTTAAGAGAAACACAAAGGGATCATTGAGTAGTGTCTAAAATGAGCACATCTTAATACAGCCAGTGTGCTGTCTGAGGGGGTGATTTTCTGGCTTGGACACAAATTGGCATCAGGAAGACTCCAGAAGCCTTTTACACATTTTTGTTTTTGACAGTAGTAGTAACTGCATCTATGTTTATTTAGAAAATGATTATACTAAATACTCCCTTCTTCTGCTGAGCATGTACCAAAAAAAGCTATTGTCCCTAAACAGAGAGAGAGAGGTAAATTTGAGAAGAACTCTGTTACAGGTAACACACAGCACATATGTGAATGTGGCATATAGTTTTAATCTCACTGTACACACAAGCTGACTTCAAACAGTTGAATTCAATGTGTGCATGTTACATATATATAATTTAGTAGCCTATATGTTAACAAATCTATCATCTTTTATAGATTAAGAGTGTTATGTTTTATTTTATTACTTAAGTAAGATAGCATTGTCTTGTACAGTACAGTTAGTAGTGTGGATATGTTGTCAATTAGGACTATAGTTTGCAGGTTTATCTTATCTTAGGTCTTGCAATAATTATGTATTGTACTTATTGAACTGGGGCAGCTGTCTTGACCTACTGGACTATACAGTGAGGTTATGTATGTAAAGTTTCTCGGTCTAAAGCACAACACTTTATTTACACACTTAAGTTTGCACAGCTTGGCATGTTTACCTTCAGTGTATAAAACATGGCTATATTCGCCAGTAGTATTTTAAAATTTGTATTGCACACCTGCACTTTTCTGGCTTCACAAAACAGGAACATGTATAGCAGACCCAATAGAGTTGATTTTTTGTGAGCTGGAACATTTGGACAAGCCCTGCCATCACACACAAAGGCGTCTCTGTCCGACCTATATCCATTACTAAATCTCCTTGATTTGTATTAACGGCCTGTTCTCCTCTTAGCGGTGCCAATCTGACACCCACTGCACCATCCATCGCGTCCAGGCCCCCAGCTGCCTATACTGATGCTGCCAAGCCTTTTTAGAGCTTGTCTCGCTCAGATTGTATGTGTGAGTGCACTTCATGGGAATACCCCCCAGACAGGGCCCTCTGCCTTTGAGCCCACAGCACCTTGCTCCCATGCCAGGCTGCTGCTCTCCACTGCAGCTCCTATAGCTCCTATAATCCCATTACAGACTGGGTGCAGGCCAAACTCTCTGAGGGGATGGGGGAGCGGGGTGGGGGGTGGATGGAGTGGGTGCTGCTGATGAGGGGGTCTGGGATCAGAGGGAATCCCCAACACCTACTCTGTGGTTGGTGTGTTGTAAAGTCATTCTTCAACTGTCACTGCAGAGAATCATGGAGGTATTAGTTCAATCTTTAAATCATTTACTACACTATGACTTAAGAGCTACATTTCTTAGAGGTGCGCAGGTTCCAATAGCTGATAAAAATACACACCATTTATAATTACTACTGCACAAAAGCCTATGACTCAAAATGCTATTGCAGATTTTGAGTCACACATCCACGCAGCTGGTGAATGGGTACCTTCAGCAAGTCTCAGTTCCGTACAGAATTACACCACCACAGATGAAGTGGTTCAACTGCATATAACACAAACAAAAAACCCAGGGTGTGAATCATGTCTGGTGGCCACAAATAGGACCTGATATGGTGTGCATGTGCTGATGTGTGGGGACCAGCTCCACTGTAGCTACATGTCCAAAGACTCATGGTCTGTCAACAAGTGCAGAGGAGGAGGAGGTCTAATGTCACAGCGGTGAACCTCATTTCTTCACATCTGCTCGCCGCCTTAAAGACGCTTTGATGTAGCCACACTACAGGAGCAAAGCACATGGGTAATTATGTCCTGTGAGCTCCTATGGCCCATACCGCAGACCTAAGATTTCAGAAAAGAAGATCAGATACCACCATGGATAAAAAACAATATTGTGGAGATTATTGTTGAAAGCATTTAGCTTATTATGATATTTGATATTTGTTATCATAAGATCCTGCTGTCTGTAGGATGGCTGACTACATTTGCGACAGACTTCTATAAACTTGTTGAAGTGTATAAAGATCTGAGCCAAGCCAAACTAAAGTCAGAGTAGTAGAATTAAATTAAACTTTTGTCTGGGTCTGGGATTTGAAGTCTTGTTGTATATACTGTATATGAAGAGCTTAGTGTATGAACATGTGAATGCATATGTACGCAAATAAGCAAATGACACATTGCAATAATTTGTGAGTTCTGCAATTCTCAGATATGGTGATGAATTTAAACTTGCTTCCATCTTGCATGTACTACTGCCTTAGAAGCTAGTTTTATCATAGTATCATTTCAGGAAAATCACACAAGATCAAAGGGGAATCACCCATCCACCAAGAGACACCCAGAAAAGACACAGCACTCTACAGCTCCATCACCAGGCCGGACTTTTACAGAGCCCCATGCCAGCAGCCCATGTCCTGCCTCTGTGCCGGGGAGGGGCTGAGGTTGTGGGTACGGGGATGGTGAGGGGTTTTGGGGTGGGGAGCTGGGGTCTGCTCTCACCTGGTCTCACTCCCGCCAACATTGGCAGTGGGTGGTGGGTGAACGCCATGCGGGGGGACCTCGTCTGGGAGGACAGGGCGCTGAAATCGAATTTCCCCGGCTTCTTAAGAGAACCAGGCGACGAGAGTCCTGGTAAAAAGGGGATCAACAAAATGGCAGAACAGAGACCAGGGTTTAATTCAACATGGATCCGTTGCTTACTGCAACTCTATCAAGAAATGATCATTAAGAATCTTAAAGCTTTAAGAGTTTTGATTACATTAAATGATTATGATAGAAATCAATGGATAGATTATTTCATTCATTGATTTGTTGACTGGATTTACACTGAGATGGGTCTACTGATAAACAGACTGTTTGTTTATGTACAGTCAGCAGGCTGCACCACAGGCTGAGGGCAGGAGGAAGTGGAGGCTGGGACTGGGAGAGGCCATGTTTGAAGCAGCAGAAGGTCAGAGGGAGGGGCAGAGGCGGAGGGGGCGGGGCCAGAGGGTGGACACAGTGGCAGGAGAGGAGAGCTGGAGATGCACTGGACTTTCACCTACTGTAACGAGCACAGCACCCAATCTGAATCATAGTCCTTTAACGCATCACAGTGCTGTGCTAGTGGTAGCTGCATTACAGATTGTAATGCTTTAAAGGAAAAAAATGACAGGAATCAGCTGTAGAATACACACCAGACCACTCTTATAAAGAACAAATGAAATACAGTCACTGTGAAACATCTCCAGTGTGATGTGAAAGTAAAGCTTTAAGTAAATTCCCGTGCCCAATTCCCACATGCTATAGGGCATTGTTAGTACTTCGGTTGTCTACAAGAATTGAACAGAACATAAAACTCCCACTGTTGGCTCACAGAATGATATAACTGGTCCAAAACATTACTATTTTCTATTAATGCACAATCACGCTTGCTTTTGAGGATATCATGTAGTCTACAAAGCACACCAAGCAGCATACTCACTCACTACATTTGTCAAGACACCTCTTCAGAATGAATGGGACATTGGCTGGCCTTTACTGGCGGCAGACTGTGTTTTCCAAGCAAAGCCGTCATGAATAACCACATATAACTGCTGTAGACCCGGCCAAAGCACACATCAATAGATCCTCTGATGTAGTGCCCTTCTGCATATCTGTCTGTCAGGTATTTTATGTTAATGCCATAACCGTATTTCATAAAAGAGTGCTTCTACTCACAACACTCACACACATTCACACAAGCTGGCAGGCCCCGGGCACGCTGCCAATTTCAGCCAGAGAAGGAGCGGGCCAGGAAGACGGAAGAAGTTAAGCAGCGGAGGAGTGGAGATGGTAAGGCCGCGCCACATAGACAAACAAATTCAAGTGTCCCCCCCTGTCTATAAATGTCCAAATAGGCTAAAAGCTACATGAAATATCTCTGGTTTGGTAAACTTGGACAGGGTAAATACAGGCCAGCTCCACCAGGCAACCAGAAACACGGCCCAAAGTGTGAGTGCCACTGATGAAAAGCCATGTGTGGTGAGTGCTGGGGAAGCTTATTTTGATGTATGGTATTCCAACAGCACTATTTAGATTTTCCGGGTTTGCCAAACAGAATCTAACCTCTGTTGGGAACCACAAAACTGAATATATGCTGAGAAGATTGGCACGATAAAACAGAAAAATAATGAACGTACAGAACGATATTATTTCGTTTTGTTTGCTTCGTAATTGTAAAATCCTGTGATAAACAACCTCGGAGCGTAAAAAGCCCGTAAAACGTTAAACGGCTCAATATTCGCACATATAAAACAAACGAGTAAAGATGTGGGTAATTTCGACACGGCCCTGAGATGTCGAAATAGACTTTACGAGCGACGCATATAAAACGTAACACAGGCGATTTCTGAAAGCCCCTTTTTAAAGCTACACTGGGAAATCTTTTAGCACTATTTGCCCACAGTGCTCATTGGAAAGCACGAGCGCAGCTGTGCTTGTGTGGGCACCGACAAGTTTAGAATAAGGTGGGCGTCTGCACTTATGTTAAGCACGACGCTACATACTTCTACATGGAGGTGGGAGGAATGCTCAAACAAAAGAGATATGTTATACTAGTGCGATGATGGGGAAAGTACAGGCAGCAAAAATGGTCAGTGCAGGGGTCACACTGAGGTCAAACCGAAATCTTGTTTGACTGGTTTTGTATTTTGTATGCATGTTTTAGTTGATAAAGTTTCAGTTTTTTTAATTGCAATTCATCAAATAAATCTGGTCTTTTAAAAATCATTGTAAAAATCCATTAAACAGCTTTAAAGATTAACTTTGTAAATGGGTCTTAAATAGTTATCTAAATATCCTGGACTTTCTTTTAATGTTTAGAACACATTTGTTCCACATTTTAATTTCAGTCCAAAATGGTGTCGGTAATTAGCCAGGCTGGTGCCACCTAGTGCCTCCGCTCAATTTTATTTCTCTCCAGCGATCAGAATACACTAGACGGTTCGCAAAATCCCCGGAAGTGCGAGTTCGGCCAATCAGCCAATCAGCGAAGAGCCATACATTTTATGCTGGCAACAATTCCTGAGATCGAGGATTTCAAGCTGGAACATTTTATCGAGGGGAAAGATGTTATTGCGTTCTTCCTACGGGATTTGGGAAAAGCTTAATATACCAGTTAGCCCCAGTAGCGGCGCATTACATACACCGCGACCAAATAGCAGTGACTGGTCAAAAGAAAAAAAGTACCCGCCTACCGTTGAGCGAATGAATTCTAACACTGCGAGGTCAGACGGTTTCTACGAAGTGAAACCAGCTGATGATTCAGGCTAGTCTGTAGTGGCTCTGCAGTCTTTAAATTTGAATTTTGTGATTGCATAAGTTTGGTACTATGATACAGTAACTACTATCACTCAATAAATTAACAATTCACATTTTTTTATTTTGGTTTTCATAATATTTATAGTGCCTACTTTTTCCTTACTTAAATGTGGAACTTTTTCTTTTTCTTCTGTAAAACAGAAACTTTATATATCATATATTGAATGCCCTGCTCTATGATTTTTTTTTTAACTTTTTTTAAAACTATATATTAAAAGCAACATCTGATAGCAACTGTAGCATTCAAGGAACTAGTGGAACTATCCAAATTAGATATTCCTGCCACTGCGTTGTGGCAACAGGTCATTCTAATCAGGAATTTTGCTATAACAGTTGTTTGTGCTAATGAAGAGTCAAGGGAAAATGTATAATTTCAACAAGCATTTCAAGTCCCCGAACACACTTACAATGTGAATGTCAACATGTTGTATGCTTAATATATTTTGGCAATAAAAAGTGTTTTCTCCTCTGTGGCACATATAGGGATGACTGCCTGCCGCATGACAAGTTTAATTATAACAGACCCATTATGCATAAACAGTCTTAAATTATACATATTGTTTTTTAGTCTCAGTGATACTCCCTAATTAGCCACTATCTGACTGAAATATCTGGTTCTATGTGACTTTGCTGTGAGAAGCGGCAAATGAGGCCCAGATGCCCAATGAAAGCTTTGTCTGATAAGCTAACAGAAGTTACTCTGATCTCCGTGTTAATCTGCGCGTGTGTGTGGGCGTGTGCACGTGAGTGAGTGTGCACGGCCACACAAATGGTGTTGTTTGTTCGGCATTATTTCGGTGTCCTGGCAAACGGCTAGAGCAGACTGGCGGCCAATTGCTCCCATGACCCTCCAGTGTTGCCACGCTAACAAGCTGGCCACCACACAAACCTTAGCATTAACACCACACAGGAGTCCACATGCACTGTGCTTTAAAAGTGCAATAGTAAAAGCTAGCACATTTGTCAATAAAGAAGCTACATTACACACATTGGGGCTTGTCCAAACCAACATCATTTCTATGCAGTGTTTTGGGCATTGCAATTTTATTATTTTTGAATAAGGCTGCATATGACGATAAAAAATTAACAGAATTTTCTAAGCTTAAGTGTAGGCATTTATTTTACCCAATCAATACTGCAGCCATAAGCTTATGTGTGTCTGTTGGAAGGCCTCAGCCCAGCAAATGAAAAATCAGTTTTTATTTGTGTCATAAGGAAAATACAGTACAATGCAGACAAGCACTGTATGCAAATTGCTACACTGATCTGAGCTTTGCCCATTTAACTCTTCATTATGGACTGAGATGATGGTTCAAAATAGTTGCACAGTGACATTAGAATGAGATGCAAACTATACAGAAATATATAGTGTAGCCCAAGTTGAAACCTTATGTTCTTACATTTCAAGCACTCCATTGAGCTAATAACCTGTGTCAGTCCAACACCTCGGCTCCAGGCTCAAAAGTTACTAAGCGGATTTCTCAAGTCAGAGGTCGAGTGAAAAAAACTGCAGAGCTAATGATGAATTACATGATCACCTGCTATGCCTGGGAGCTTTTTGCTTCTCAGGTAAGAGATTCACCTCCAGAGCCGACAGAGGCACCCCCCGCCCCTCCTCCTCCTCAGCACCCAGACTCCAGCGCAGCACCATGAGAACAGATGTCCGCTGTAACCCAGTAGCTCCCTTCGCTGTGAACACATGGAGGCGCCATCTGGACCGGAACGCTGCTCCTCTCCAGATTGGGAGTGTGTGCGTATGTGAATGTAAATCAGAGAAAGCAGTGTATACATGTGCTTAAATCTAGTTGTATTTTTTTTTTTTTTTTTTGCGAGGCAGACGGTGCTTTGTGCATCCATGACACACCTGAGTGCCTGCAGTCATGTTTGTTTGTGATGTGTGTGTTTTTGGGGGAGACGCTTTAGGCAGGTGGGACGCCACTCGACATCTCTCTCTAAACAAAACTACGCCACAATCCCCTGTTCACAACAGCCCCCACCATTCTGGTGTCTTTCATCACTGGCATTGCCTCTCAGGGCTTGACGACAAAATTACTACAACCCAGCAGCGCACTTATGGAACACAAATTCACACTGGCATCACAAACTCTTGTTTGTATTCATGTGGCGGCTGGAGACAATGAGGTTTTTGGAAACAGTAATTGTAAAAGGGTTTGATTTACCCAAGGCGGCTGAGCTATATGATAGCAAAAATCTTGATTGTGAGCACAATACAAATGCAGCAGCAGAACGCCACACACTAGATATAAAAGCAGGTTGTACAGTATGTTACTAAGGAGGAAGTACTCACTTATCACACATCAGCTTTGGGTTAAACATTAGATCAAGTGTGGAATAATTTTCATCACTTACTTTTTAGCACATCAGCAGAAAAGTCAACACTGGCAATGGGAAAAATCTAACCGTTATGGTTCAGTTCAGAGAACAACATGCAAGAGCCCGGCAGGAAACTGAATCTACAGCTTCTTTTTGAAGCACTAGTTTATAATTTCTCCACACATTTAGGACTAATGTCACCAGTGAACTAAACTAGTAGTGTGTGTATTTTGACAGAAGTCAAACGTCTCACTACTGTTTCAAATGTAAATATTATATTTACTGTATTTACCACAGGTGTACTGCTGAAACACATTTTAAAACAATTAAAATGGCAGCACACTGTGGCAAAAAGTTAAGCTAGTGGTTTAGAATAGTGAATGAATTTTGCCATTGCACACTTACAATTACAGTCACTCAAACTGTACACAGCAAATGCTTTCTTCAAAAACTTTTCACCCATGTTTACATATTTGATGATTGTTATGGCGCTAAAGGGCAACCAAGCGGCTTTGGCAAACCCCACAATAAACAACAGCAAACATCTGGAAGAGAAACACAACCCCACCCAGCGGCAGCACAGCCAGGAAACAAGACACAGGGCGGGATGGACAAGGGACAGGACAGGACAGGCGGAAGACAGACCCAGAGGACAAGGAAAGACAGAGAGACAGAGAGAGGGGAGCTGGCAAGCCGAAGCATACATGAATGGACACAATATAATGTTTAATGTTCTAACTAACCATGGTAAGGAAACTGCACTCCATCGCTCTCATGCTTAATCTTCCTCTCCTGCACACTGGCCAAATGGTGCTGCACTGAAAGGCCAAACAGGGGAGAAAGGAGAGTTAACAACGAAGGAGAAAAAGACAGAGAGAGATGATGGAAAGAAAGAGAGAGAAAGACATAGGGGGTTGGTTAAAAACAGGCGACATGGGACTTTCATGTTATAGAGTGCAGCAAGTGTCTATAAAAGTTACATCATTACTGGCGGCGCCTACAGTCAGTCTATGAGAAGGAGAGACGGCCATTAGGAGGGGTACATACATTATATATACAGTAAAACAAGCTTAATACTACACCCAAGAGATGTGCGTTATGCATTTGTGAGGATTTTTTTCAAGATGGCTGTCAAGACACTTTAAGGTGGAAATGGTGGAAGTTGAAGTTAAATGGTTAGGATTTAGGGCCAATTGGGCTGCTGAAATGTTCTGTTAAAATACTGACATAAACATTTAAATTGGATACTATATAATATAAAGTTTTGTTCATTGTTTGCAAGTATATTTTTATTGCCCTTATTAGTAAAACAAATCGCTCACTTCAGATGTTTAATAGACATAATTGAACATTATTCAAAACCTTTTATTACACACAGTATTTTTATATGGACTAGGCCTGTCTATTTCTCATGAACTACTGAAACGCTTGTCCAGTTTAAATTTATAGAGTCCCGTCTTTTAGATTTTAACAAAACATTAAAACATAACATATTTGCACCAAACTATTTCAATATTGCACTGAAATCCGAACTATACTAGCACTTTCATTTCTGTTGCCCCTTTTGGAGAGCACAAAATTACAATTAAATAAATTAGACAGACCATCAAAATAACGCTAGGTCTAGGATTACACTGTATTGGAGCATGGCTTTGAACAGCGCCTGGCAACAGCTCCTCACCAAAACACGCACAATAGTCTAACGTCATATATCTGACATTCTGAATATTACATTTCTACACATAAACACTGGAGCTATTGTGGTCTGATTTAAAGGAAGGTTCACCCTCAAGGGAAATACTTTCTGACTGAGTGTGGCGGTATTTTGGGCTTTTACGTTCTGAGGAGTTTAGACATCCATCAGTGCGTTGTCTACCTCCACCCTGTTAAAGAGGTGCCGTGAACATGGCGGAATGGAGCTCATCTTTCAGTAATCAAATTCTGTGGATAGTGTAGAGATGCAACAGAAAAACTCCATGAAACAGAAAAGTCAGCAGGATATGTGGCCTGCCCATATACAGGAGGCAAAAAGTACGAGCCAGTATAAAAGAACGTTCTACACTGCGCAGGAAGATGATTCTTATTATGAAATTATTATGTGAGGAGGTGTACTGAGGTTTCAGCTACATATTAAAGATGCACTATGTCACTTTTCTAGTGGAGGGTACCTCACCTCATGAAGATGCTAATTCTTTGCCTAAAATGTCTCACAGTAGTATAATTGTAAGTGCCTTTATTGTTAAAGAAAAACAGAAACATATGTTCCACAGTATGGCATTAAAAAATTCCAGATTAAATGACTTCGTTGACCCTCCATCAAAAAATTTACATAGTGCAGCTTTAAACAAACTCAGCATTTTTTGTACAGCTTTGAATTAATTTCACTGATACCACAGTGGAAATTGAAGGAATATTTATGATCAATATTTTATTTATTTCACTATTACTAGAGATCTTAGTTTTAGTTATTTTTAATTATGGATGAGATTGGCATATTTCCCACCAAAAATAAATACATTTAGCTTGGTTAGATAATGTCACTTGAACAACCATTTAGATGAAGAACATTTGAATGGTTTAAAATGATTGCTGTCTTGCTTAACGATTAGTCCACCTCCAGAGGTGGTATACTGTGTGTGGTGGTCTATGGGCCATACCTGCATCCACATCATTGGGCCAGCCGCTGGACTGAGAGCTGCTGCCTGCTGCGGGGGACCGGCCCGAGTAGAACACATCATCCACAGGACTCTCCATCTCGCTGTCGTCAATGGACTTACGCTTGTTGGAGCTGAGACCACATACACACAGTGAGTTTGAGATCACATTATACACTGAGTATTAATTTTCACACACAGACACACATTGATGATTATTTTCTATAATAAAAGGTATTTGACAACATCTGGACCGTATGTGCAACCAATACTATAATGTATTTATGCATATTTGTACATTTCTAATTCTAATCTAATTCCCTTTTTCATATTTCAGTCCCTTGCTGTAGCAGCTTTTGGTCTCATTGAGTCAGTATATCTCTCCTTTCAAGTGGTCCTGGTGAATTTTACATTTCTTTTGGCAATACTTTGGTGACTTTCACCCACCCCTAATAAATATGAATATGTAAAATGAATGCCTGGTCTATGTCTCTCAAACAACTTCATTGTGAAAGTGTCATTCTGCATGAAATGTAATTGCCCTGTCTGGAGCTAGGCCTGTGTTTGCTGGAATCAAGAGTTAGCAACTTTCAAATGTCAAGGTCTCCTTCAGTGTTTGGCTTTTATATTATGTTGTAGCCACAGGGGGAGACAGCGAGAGAGAGGGGCAGAATGTATTGTGCGTGTGGCCATGGTTGGACCACTTTGTTGTGTGTAAGCAGATTTTACAGAGTCGCACATCTGTGCCCAATAAAATGTACAGCACGATGTGAGATCTGTGTGTGACAGTGAGGTGTTTGCACGGCCGCATCATAACCAAGGGACAGATTCTGTAATGAGTGTAACTACCTCCGTGGGAGACTTGCATAAAGCTCCATTTCAGTCCTGCAGCGTAAGATGAGCGGAGGCAGAGAGAGGATCAAGCACAGACACAGACAGAGTGGGTCCAATGAGAGGGTTAGTGGTGGAGGGAAACACAGGAAAGGGACAAAAGTCAAAAAGGAGAGAAGGACTTATTCAAGGGGTTAGAAAAGTTAGTATGGATAAGTTTCATGTACCTGCATTATTTTCAATGTATCCATTTAGATTATGATTGTTGACTTAAAGTAACTACTGTCTAACTATACATGCAACATGAACTAAATTATACTAACTGTACTGAAAAATGGCAAACCATACTAATCATAAAGTCTACATTATTTTTAAAAGAAACCTCAAAACTGTATCCTACCTCGTGGAGGGGGTGGAGGTGATGGACCGCCGTCCCAGGGTCACCTGGTTGATGTTGTAGTAGCCAGGGCTGTCCAGGTCGGCTAAGGAGAAGTTGGGACCAGTCGCTGTAGCAACTGGGGCTGAAGAATTCAAATAAGATAAAGATGAAAACATGCTGAATGGTAAGAGCGTCAATATTTAAACAATTATTTGAAATGAGAGAAGATACAGCTTGTTTGTGATGAATTCAAGCCATGACTCACTCTGTGACACGCGGACAAGCTCGGCGACGTTCCACACTCCTGAAGTCACAAAGCAGTCCTGGAAACTCAGATTCAAATGGCCTGTGGAGAAAAGACATGAGAGACACAACATGTGAGTTGGGTCAAACACACAAACCAAATGTGAGGAAGACATGATGATGCAGTCATCTCACAAATGCTAATGTTAGCTGTACCACATGTATGAGGGGACGTGCTGTCATCCACTAGACATGTGTTTTCAATACAACACAGACAAGACGCCCTTGGTCATATTCATATTTAATGACAGTTCATTATACACCATAGTACATACTCGGCACAGAGACTATGTAAGTCTATAAGAGGCATGTTTGCATGTTTGTAATCTTCAACCAATATTTTTAGAACTGGAAACTGGAACTATCAGTCCTCTTTCCTCTGTGTATGCCCCATAACCGCTAGGACAGGCTACAGTTGCCCAAAGTCTGGAGACTTGTTTTTAATTTAAAAGGGAATGCTGATCACAAATCGGCAACAGGAATGACTTAAATGAAATCATATGTAGAGCAGCTAACATCCCCCTTACTTTAGCCAGTAATAGAAATGCACGGTCCGTTCTGTAACAAAACAAACATGATGGCTGTTATGTAGATTTGACTTGAAGGCAAACAGTGCAACATATCTACTGAGCAGTGCCATGCTCTTTAGAAACTCAAATTAAGCCATTTAAAATATTCAATTGCCTCAAAATGACTTTGTAGCCCATTAGTACTTTACAAGGGCTCGTAGTAGCAGTTCAGATACCATTAATAGAACAACAGTACCTGGTTTTCATTATCACTACCTTAATGGTACTTTTTCACAAACCTCTTCTTAATTAATATCTAGGATAACCATCATTAAAATGTTCATTCATTTTGTAGAATCACACATTAGCTTGAATCCTTGTCTGAAATGAATGAGTTCAAGTATCTTAGGGTTCATAAGTGAGGAGTGTGAGATTGACATTGAGATTGTGAGATGTCCGTAATCTGACCTATGATCATGAGCTTTGAGTAATGACTGAAAGGACAAGATCGCAGATACAAGAGGTCAAAATGCGTTTCCTCCATCAGGTGCCGGGGCGCTCCTTAAAAAATAGGGTGGGGAGTCACACAGGGAGAACTCGTAGTAGAGCTGCTGCTCCACCACAAGAGGGAGGAGGAGAGAGAAACCATCTGAAGTGGCTCTGTCATTTGCTCTGGATGCCTCCTGGACATCTCCCTGGAGAGGGGTTCTGGGCCACAGGGAAGATTTAGGACACGCACCAGGGACTATGTCTCCCGGCTCACCTGGGAACTGCTCGGGATTTCTGGAAGAGCTGGAGGAAGTGTATGTGGAAAGGGAAATCTGGGCATCCCTGCTCAGACTGCTGGTTGGGATGATGGATAGAACACGATGGATGGAGCACGATGAATGGCCTTTCAACAGTAATCTCCCAGTACCAACCAGGCATGAAATAAAATGCATCAATTACTTTTGGGTACCAGTTCTACTTTAACTTTTTTCTGTACCAATATGGTACCCATCCCATATGATACAAGGTACATTATGGACATTATAGTGCACATTTATATCCACACCCTCTCTCTCCCTCCATAAGTCCTCTCCTTCACCCCCTTCAGCTCTCTCCCTCCATCTCTGCCTGGGGTTAACCACAGCGGGGACAGCGTATGAGGTCAGCGCTCGGCTCGGCAGCGGCCATGTGGTTCCCATCTTCCAATAACGTCAGTGTGATTTATGAGCGCGCCGCACACAGCCCCCGCGCTTCAGGACCCTCAGCTCTCCTTACCATAATAAACTTTAGACCCAACTCAGCCGGGACACTAGCACACAGAGCCTGCCTGTATGCAGGGAGAGTATGGCCAGTACGGGATGTGCACGGTACATGATGCAGCTATATGCTTTCCTCCTGGAGCCATATGTGAAGAAGACACACTTAATCGATGACATCCTTACCATTTGGTGGGGGCTTGACGTCATTGTCTCCTTGCTGGTTTGAGTTGTCTGATTGTCCTGATTGTTCTGAAACACACAAAAGAACAGACAAAAATCATATTACTAATAGAATACTTTACATTTTACATTTGTGGTAGTTTAATCACCCAAGCACTAATACATTGACAGGGTTGTCATAGAGCATCTGGCATTAATGTTAAGCATGTGGCAACAGCTGGAAAGGGAAAAGGGATCTTGAGCTATAGAAACTCAAAAGAACATCATTAGTATTTTCAGTAGAGCAAGTTTTTAACTAATTAAAAATAAAAAAAATATTGATATGTTGAAACGAGAGTACTAGTGTTAGATTAGCACACTACAATAGCTGGAATATATGAATTGTCCTGCTATTTGCTATGGTTTGCAGTAATCTCTGTTTGCATCAAATGTAAACTTTTGACAACCAACAACGTAAATAAAGTCAAATGAGGCCTGGTAGACCTCAGGTATGTGATGCAGACCAAGGCCTGGTGGCACTAGTTACTTGAAACACACTGTTCCCAGTCATAAAAACAATTTACATGCAAAGTTCAAAGTTCACAAGTTTGGGTTGTTGATTTAAAATTCCATTCCTTCTCACTACACTACTCCAGCGTGTTTATGCAAACGTGTAGGCACCAAATTGCCTTCCTAAGCTAGTTTAGTTTGGCCCAGAGACTGCCATTCTTTTCTCCATATGTAATGCGCCCTCATGGAGTTTTATAGTTGTATTGTATATACCATTCAAGCCAATTAGCCTACAGCGCCAGAGCTCTCAGGCTGCCCCAGGCCACGTCTCCCTCTTGGTCCGTTGAGAGAGCAGCCCCCACAATCTTATCATCTCCTAAACCCAAATCAGCGTCCAGATCTTGGGTGGCATTAGTGCATTATGTGCCAGCCATTCGTGTGCCAAAATGGTGGAGACAAAACGAGAAACAAACCACCTCATCAGACTGAAGAGGAGGAGCGCGCAGGGATAGAGTTACTTCTGTCTCACATGTTTTTTAAGCTTTACAAAGTCCACTTTCTGAGTCTTTCTCCCAGCGTTTCTCCTTACACTCCGCTCCTCTCTCCTGGTGCTGTCGCTCTGTGGAATTCTGGCAGCCATCTTAGCGCTTGGCAGCCATCTTAGCTTTGGCGGTACCCGTGCATTCCTGCTAGCTGACGGCACTCAGGCTCACACACAAGGATACAAACAAATCCGGCAATTCCTGATTTGAGATTTAAGATAGGAAGAGCAATTCAGGATCAGAGTATCTAATAAAATCAAGATTACATGTGAGACTTACTGACATCCTATAAAAAGCTACTACCTGTGTTGAAAACTGTGCAGTACTAGTCTGTGGTAAAATTGGGGTAGAGAGGTACTGATGATTCATTCATTTTTACTGTTTTGAGTGATAAATATGTTTTAAACAGAACAGTCAATATCAATAAGGTTCTTTCTTTGCCTCATTAAGAAATTGGTGGTTGTCAACAGGTCAATCTGTGCACTGCTGAGAAATGGAACAGACATATTACATCAGCACCATGAAACTGTCATTGTAATATGCTATTAAATATGGGTTGAACCATTTCTGAGTCCTTTTTAGCCTTTGGGAAAGCGTTAGCACAAACTAGAACAGGACTGTACTTGCAAACTTCACTATAGAACATGATGTATTTAAATTTTTTCCCCAACCCTACAACAAATCAAACCTTTGGGCTTTGGGCTGTGGAAAATGGAATTCTGTTAAAAACATCTAAAATGTGTGAAGTTTCATAAGAACTGGCAGCGGCTCACATCATTTTTCTTCTCAATTGACAACTCAACCTTCGCCATGGCTTTGCTGATAAGATATGTTTTGTCTTTGGGCTATTTCACATCCTGTTGGAAGGGTTAATAGATTTCAAGCCGCCTCACACCTGTATACATCTGTACGTCTGCATTAGGTTTCATTATCTGCGTGACAGCTTTACAGCCAAAAATGAAATTGGCCAGTTGTCATGGTAACGGGGACCACAAACCACAGTTGGAGCAGGAGGTGCATATGTGTCGCAGTTTGGCCTGGCAATTAGTTGGAATGAAGATAATAATATAGCCTACTGGCATGAGCTCAATAAGTTGTTTTGTTTAAGTATTTGTTGGCAGTGAGTGGTTTGGCAGCCTCCGCGCTACTCTGTAACAAGGCTATTTTTTTAAACTCTATCAGTCTGTCCGTATTACTAGGTGTTAAATCCACTTGTATGTGCAAAAGGGAAGCTGAAACCCAAGAGGTGTAACTTTTGGCTTGCTTTGAGCTTGGTTTGAGAATGAAGGGATGAAGAACTATAATTGGAGGGCCACGATACAGCTCTCGTACAAGAGAAGTGCCATCATGAGTTTTAATCTCTGCAATCAATGCAAGAATGCCCCATCTGTCGTGGTGTCTGAGTGAGGCCATCTATTGGCATGGTGGAGGTACACATTCAACATTGCTAACGTGTTAATGCTGCTTCTTACCAGAATCAGGGCTAGACGTTTACTCTTGTGAAGTATTTTAATATCCAAAGTCAAATATGAGACTCCCTACAGATGTTGAATTACTTATATTTATTTATCTAGTTCTGATAAGGGTACTTTTCTGATGGTTTAATTAAAATGGTAAATCTCAGAAAATAATACAAAAAAAAAAGTTCTTGGTACATCCTTTATTTTGTTTCTGTATAATTGTGGACATCATATCATTGGAGCAAGAAAGTATAGTAGTTCTAAATGGACATTTAAGATGATATAGATGGTACTTAAGAGTGTGAGACATCAATAAGAGGGTACTTGAATCAAAACAGGCCAGGGCCCACGGCTATAGGCTACACATTTGAGCAGGAATGGCATTAATATAAAGGGTCTTAATCTTTTTCAGACGTATGACATGATGATGTATGATCAGCCTACATGAGTTCACTGCACAGGACTAGAACATCATTGCATCTTATATTCATTAAAAAGTGTTTAGGTGCTGTAGGCCTAATACTTGCTGCGCTTTGTGGTGGACTACAACCTAGCATTGTAGTACTTGAGACTGTTTTTCTTACCGTCTTGGTCTCGTCTCGGACTCGAGCGCATATGGACTCAGTCCTTTCTCAGTCTTGAAGTTGCTTGGACTTGGTCTTCTCTCAGACTCGAGGTCTGACATGCACTGAGTGCAATTATATTTCATTACGGCTGCTGTTGTCGACAATAAACTTGTAACTGTGTGCGGCAGCACGCAGGACTTCTTACTGCAGCCTGTGCGCTCAAACTACCCAAAATCCTACTCACTTCATTCACTTTGAAGCAGTTCTCTGTAAAGTGCCAGTGGAAATTGGCTTAAAGAAGGGGTTTTCAATCTGTGGGTGTGGGTCCAAAAAAGGGACACAGAGTGTTTCAGTGCAGTAAAGTTTGCTGGGCTTATTTTAAGGTTAAATTAACATTTACCAGATAAAATGGACATAAATCTATAAAAACATTGATATATATATGCCAAAATAACAGTAAAATGCAAATAAATGTAGAAAATGATTGAAGGTCTTGATTTGGTCTCGATGGCCCATGATCACGGTCTTGTCTCGGTCTTGACCTTTAAAGTCTTGATCTTGTCTCAGTCTTGACCCTCAGAGGTCTTGGTCTTGTCTTGGTCTTGTCTTGGTCTTGGGACCCTGTGGTCTTGGACAGGTCTTGGTCTCGATTAGTGTGGTCTTGACTACAACACTACTATAACCTACTTTATTATTATTTGTGTACTACTTCAGGTCCTATATTCACAAAATATTTCTTGTGACCTATAAGCCTTGATAGAACGGTGTTAACACAAACAGACCTGGAGTTGTGTTTTGTTTCATTCACATTTGTTTGAGTAACAATTTAATATTAGTCTGTCTACATCTAGAAAGCTCAAAATGCTCTATTCCACCTCATGATGTCAAGAAGCCGTAGTTTTCAAGTTAACAGCTACAGTTGTGAAGTGGGGACTTTTTTTTAATACTGCCCACCTATTAACATTATTAACATTAATGTCATTCATAATCACCTACAGAACATAAATCATAGGCTACAACACATGTGGCCAGGACTGAACCCTGAGGACTAAAACAGGACTAAACCAGGTCCAAACCAGGACTAAACCAGGTCTAAACCAGGACTAAACCAGGTCTAAGCCAGGACTAAGCCAGGACCACACCAGGACTATACCAGGATTAAACCAGGTCTAAGCCAGGACTAAACCAGGACTAAACCAGTTCTAAACCAGGTCTAAACCAGGACTAATCTTAGACTTGAGAGCGAGAATCCTGAGAAGGGTATTTGCCCTGTGGGGGCGGAACTCTACTCTGGTCCTTTCGCCTGCGGTCACCTGATGGTCTATGTGGGTGCACCTCTGGGCCCGATCCAACAATCAGTTCTGGTTCAGTCCTGTTTCAGTCCTGGTTTAGTCCTCCTGGTCCAGTCTGGGGATCAGTCCTAGTCCCCTCATGGGGAGGGGGTCACAATAGGACAGTACTGGAGATATCATGAGCCTGTGCAGGTTGCTTTCACCACTGCAAGTAGCTCCGGTTTGACATTGATAATATATAGGCTACTCTATATTTGTTATTTTTTTACCCCCATGTACTATGCCCACTACACCCCTGAAATTGACAAAGAGATCGGCATTTCCAGATCTGAAATTATCCAAATGATTCTAATGAAAGTGTATGGAATTTAAAAACATAGTGGAGAACTTCCTGTATTACCACATGACATCACAAAGAACTAATGTCCAGTATTTGTAAGGGTATGATTAAGATGAGAAGCAACATTATAACAGAGATTAGAAAATAGTGCAATATGGGCTCTTTAAATTTTGTTTGTTATGAAGGCGGCACCAGAAGGAAACATGACAAAATGCTTTCAAGTCGTGTTCACCAGCCTGTACACGTGCACGCCCACATGACACTATAAAACATGTCCACTCACACTATAGCTGGCATCTATAGAACACTCAGAGCATTTGCTAAAGCATATTTACTAAAGTGGTGAAAGCTTGCACTCAACATGGCTGCCTCCGTAGCGC